AGCTCCTGAAAAACGGTACATTCTCATAACATTTTAAAATTCTAGAATTGCGATTAAACTTTTCGCTCCTATATTCCTGACATTATTTTAATTGAAATTTTTTACATCGTCATAATCAAATGGCGGTTAAACATACAAAAACTGTTCTAAATAATTTTAAGATAATTTGATATAAATTATAATATAAGATACTCACCAATACAATATAACACTTTCCAAACTAAATTTTTTGAAATTATAGTTGCATACTTATAGGTGGTATATTGCTCCATCACTGTTTTAATCATTTTAAATACAAAAATAGTAATTGCGAAGAAACTTTTATTTTAAAAATTTTTAAATTCTTTTTCTTAAGCAGCATGTGCATTTCTTCAATATTCCATTAATATTTTTTTTTACTAAGACTCTATATTATTAGGCCACAATAATTTATTTCCTTTATGTTTTTCTAATAATTTTTCTTCTTCAGGATTTTTAACCAAAAATAATTTTATCGTTAGAAATAAAAGAGTTTGCACAGCCATAAAACAGAATACTTTTATATATAATCTAATTAATGCCATTTTAAATGCCATAATTTATAATATTAATTATTTTCAAATAAATACAAAATAAATTTTAATGAAAATATTCAACAGTTTTTAGTAAAGTGGCTATTGCTTTATACAAACATCATTACGTAACAAATTCGAAATATTCCTATGAATTATTTTTCACTTTAACACAACAAGAATTATTGAAAACATTTATGTATTTTAATAAAATAATTTTTAAATTAAAATTGACTTAACATTTTAATTGACATTATTTTATTTTAAATAATTTAATAAAATAAATAAATTATTATTTAATTTATAAAACAAAAAGACTTGTGTTCACTTTACCCACAAATATGATAATCGATATTGTTGATATTATTTGACATTTCCACTTTGAAGTGTGACATTTGTAAAATCTGTAAGAATTTTTTTTTTTTGTAGAGCATGCGTTTTAATTTTCTGTTGTTTTACAGAAATTTATAATGGAATTCGGTTTATGTCGCATGATAGAAAATTATATCATGTCATTACGTGAAATAAAATCAATTTGTTTCAAGCATAATTAAGTAAGTACGTATATAAAATTATTATATATATACATGAATATTATATATATATGTATAGATATCTATATATATGTAACGCTACATCATTTTCAGATCTGCATTCTATACGTAATTAAAACAACATTGTTTAATTAAAGGATATTTTGTGCAGTGCAGAGGATAAAATTCTTCAAATTATCACATTATTTTTTTATTTTAATTTTTTGCTTTTTAACTTCAAGGACATTATAATATTTAGTATCCTTATATAGTTTTTATGTAAATATAACTTATAAATTATAAAATACGTTCAGTAAATTCATTAATTATTAAATAAATTTTATTATATTGTTACCATACCTTGTCTTTCATTACTTTATTTATTATATTTGATTTTAGTTCAAGTGTCCTCAAATCACTGTCGTTCATTTAAATTTTAATTCTAGTTAGGATGTTTGAGAAAGCAAGTACAGTGTTGTTTCTAAAGTTTAAGTCAAGAACTAGTTGGATAGAAAATACATTAAAAAATTAAGAAATTCTTATATTACGATCAAGCATTTTTAAAATAAAAACAGTTCTCGTGGTTTTTACTCTCTTACTATGTATAACAAAATTTATATATAATTGAAAGGCAAGTTTTCTAACATTGAAACAATAATGAACAAAACGTAATATATATTACTGGTTTTGAATGAGTTATACCAAAATAATTAGCTTGTATAATGGGTTTATTCAATTAATATATTCTCCAATTAAAATTGTCATTTTCTAACAATTTTATTGAAAGCACAAAAATTTATCCACTGCCTTTCCTTGTTATCCATTCTATATTTAAATATAGGGTAACAAACAATATGTAAATAGTATATAAAATAAGAAATTTGACCATCATATCAACGCTTTTTGGATTTATATAGATTCTCATCCTAACAGTATGCAAAAATTATGAAGCAAAGAGTAAATTTGCTAATAATAAATGTTGCAGCGCATTTATATATTATTTTAGTCTAAATGGGAAAGTATTTCGTTAGAAAAACCTTCACGATTAATAACCATTTATTTAGTATGGTGTAGAGATACTCTAATTCTCACCCAGTTAAAAGCTTTATCAATTTTAAAAACAAAAATCAATATTATATTATTTAAACATACATTCAAACATCAAAAATCATTCAACTAACTTTAAATGCTTTTTAAATACTTTATTTTAACATAAGAACCTTATACAAATATAGATGTGCACACACATCATAATATACATTGTACTGATTACATGACCGTACCATGAACATGAAACACAAAGTTTATTTATGTACGGTTTAATATTTTTGCTTCTCTTTACACATGTTTGAACATTCAAGAAATTTTAACAACTTTCTAAAAATAAAAACAGAAAATTTTTATTTTTTTTGTTTTATTTTTATATTTCCATAACATTTTATTGGAAAAAAAGCTAATAAGGATGAAATTGGTATAATCCCCAATGATAAACCTTTAAAAGTCCTGGCCCAAATAAAGGTGAAAAATTTGATGAAAAAAAATTTTTTTTTTATGCAAAACCATTGTAACAAATTAAAAGCATTTTATGTAGTTCTATGTGTTATGAAACGACGGTATGGTAAATTCGTTAAAGTGTATTTTGTTTTCTAGGATATAGAATCTATTCCCAAATATATTATCTATTATTAAAGTTCATATTATTTTTGATAAGTTTACAGGAGGTAAAACAACTTACTGAACTCATTTCATTCAAAATTCACAAAATTTCTAAATTTAAAATGGCGTACTAACAAAAATTTTGATTTCAGCGTTCAATGCCATATTGTTTGTGTTCCTTTTAAGGATTATGTATATAACCCTAAAGAGCACTTCCGAAATTGATAGAGCACAGAGCACTGTTTTGAGAAAAATTCCTTTTATGTAGAAATCCGAATAAAAATTAAAATTTGAAATCAGGATTTGAATTTAGAATTTAAATATCGAAAAAAAAACCAGAGCAAGTATGTACGAGTATCACTACTACTCTCAAGTAACATACTTCGTATTACGAAGATGGTGTACTCAAAAGTGTTATGGGCTTATATGAAGTGCTTATTTAATTCGTTCGAATATAAATAACTTATTTTCTTCAATAATGCAACAGAAACATTTTAACCTTAAATATACAGAGTTTCAGAGATCATATACAAATTTTATATTATGTAGGTATTTTTGGGCAAAAAACTTTTAGAAATTTCTAAATTCTTAAAATTTTCTTCTCCTTTTAGAGAATATTGATGATTAAGATGTGTAAAAGTTTTAAAAATATTCTTATTTTTTCCGTACGGATGTTCATGTTTTTTTTTTTCAAAAACAAAAAAAAAATACCTTGAGTACCTTTATATGTCCTTGTTTAAATATAAATTTTTGCAAACTTTTCTAAATTTTATATTATTTCGCAGGTTAATCCTAAATAATTATCAACAAATCAAAATTCTCTTCTTACCTATGTACAAAAAAACTTGTAACTTATAAAATGAAGGTTAAGGATTGCCCATCTTCTTATTTAATAGATTTTATGTAATCATTTGTATGACACAGTTAATCTTACATTATAACATTATATTCGTATAAGATGAAAATTTATCATATCCTTTGCGGTAGAATAAGAAATAAACCTAAATAAATTAGGAGCTTATATTAAAATTACCAACCAAATAATTTTATTTATAAGATACTTATAAAAATGAGGATAGGTTCTTAATTTAGTGAATAATATATAAAACTTGTTACACTAAATTAAACTAAGAAAAAGTAATTAATTGTAAGTAAATATGCGTATGCTTTTATATGTGAATTTTAACACAATTTAAGTTTCAATAAGCATTTATTGGATTGTATTAAATAAATTAGTATATTATATTTACAATACGCCCAAATTGTAAAGTCCAAATGTCCAAGATGATGCAAGTTTAAGGAAACAAAATAAACCATTTGATCAAAACATCTGAAAATGTTTATAGATTGATAAAATCTGATGAAATCAAAAGTGTTGTAGATTATATTAAAAACCTATAGCTAATCTAATGTCATATACACACAAATCTAAAAAAATAATTACAATAATCTGAGAATACTCAAAAATTTAACGAAAAAGAAAATATTTCAACCGGATTATTCCAAAATAATTATAAAAACATTAAGCACGGTTCGGAAAATTCAGATATTCCATTTGATAGATATGCAAATGTGTGTATATGTATGTACGGTATTGGTTGAACTATTTGTTAAAAAATTTTTGATATTTTGTCTTAATTGCCACATTAAACAATTTCCCGTCAGCGTAAATTTTTGTATTCATAAATAAACTTGCACAATTTTCATACAACGTGGAAGCTACTGCAATTTATTTTCAACTCTTTTCCAACAAAACTGGTACAAAAAATATACTAAACGGTTTCATTTTTTAAAGCAAAATTTTTGTTATAAAAATATGAGATTTCTTTTTGCAAAAACTCCGTAAATTTGCTTTAAAATACCCAGCACTATATAAGTCACTAAAATATTCAACTTTCACATAGAACTATAGAAAAATAGTATGTTACAGCAAAATGTAAGGTCATACACAATCTCAATATTGTTAATGTTCAGTTTAATTAAAATTTCAATAAAAAGACACTTGTTCTAATAATTAAGAATAAATTTATTTATTAATTTTATTAATTACTAACTTGTTTTCTTTTATTATTATTATTATTTATTAACTTTTCTATACATATGTATTAATGTATCACAGAAAATTTATTGCATGTAATAATTATGGGGTATAAATAATGTATAATTTATATTATAGTTTATGATAGAAATTTAATAATAATTATTTTTATAAATTTATAAACTCTATAAATATGTTCTTTTGTTTTTTTGATTATAAATTTACTTAAGCTTTATAACATTGGTTTTTCTTTTCATAATAATTATAATAATTAAGAGTATAGATATGGTAAATTCTAGCTAAAGTGTTGCATTTATTTATTGATTTTATTTGATATTAATTGTTTTCTAATGTTTCATATACCATGAAATAATGATAAATTTGATTTGGAAAATCTATACTTTGTTAAAAATAAACAGAATTATAATTTATATATAGAATTATTTATATAATATTATTGTTAATAAAATGATTCTAAATTAAAAAAAAAATTTTATATATATATTTTTTTTCTGATACATATTAAATATTTTTTTGTTTTATTTTGTTTTTTATTGAAATTGTGCAATTGAAATATATTAATTTTTATTAAAAGAATATAATATTATGTATATATAATAATTATATTTTGAAATTGTATGAAATAAGTAAAATGTATTTCTATCTTCCTAATGGCACTTCATCAAAATCATTATCAGCATCTTCGGTTTTAGATTCACCATTACAACAGGGTTGACATTTACAGCATAATATACAAGGGACAGCTAATAGTAAAAGCGGAGAAGCAATAACTAATAACATTCCGAAACCAGCAAAAATACCAATAACTTGTGCTCGATGCCATATAACAGATGCTCTTGAATGTCCCAATTTATTTTTACATGGTCCGGTATCATAATGTCGTAATAGAAAATCATCCTATTAATTTAAATAAACAAATTAATTATAATATTAATGTAAAAGAAATAAGATTAATTTAATGCAAATTATGTAAGAAAGTCATATAGATTCATTTAGAGCCGGTATTAATGAAAAGAAGATTTTGATTGATTAAAATCAATATTCAGAATTCTTCTATCATAAGCTTTTTTGAAATGATGAAAGTTGCAGTATTTTTTGGATCATAAGACACAACATCGGTCAAAAAAACGTACTTCACATTTAAAGCAAAAATGACTGCATATTAAAGTTAAAAATTACTACATTAAATTACTGCATTCGGACGAAAAGTACTGCATATTAAAGCAAAAATGTAACGAAATGTCGTATATACCTCGTACAACATTCGTGCCGCTAATGCTAAATTTCGTATAATTTTCGCCTTATTATAGGCGTATTATTATTATTATTTTTGTCCGAAAAGTATGGCATTTAAAAAAGCTTTTGGCGAACTAACACCATTTAGTTTTAGATCGCAATTGACTAGAAAAAATTAAAGAATTCATCTACATTAGAGTAGAACCGAATTATATTAGTTAATTACAAATTCAATCATTTAGTCATTCAACCTACTTAGTCACCTTAGCCTTACTGCCGGAGACATGACTCAATATTATTTAGATTATAATCTATTGTAAGAAATTACTTACATCTAAACTTGCTAAACAATACCAACAGAAAACATGTTTACATCGTTTACACATCATTTGAGCACATCCTGAATCTTTTTCAATTGGAACACCACACATCGGACAAAACTTTATTGAATCACTTTCATATGGAAAATCACTTATTTCCTCTAAAAGTCCTTCTTCAACTAAACGTTTTCTATATTCTTCGCATGATAAATTTTGGTGCCACTGAAAAACAAAAAATTTAATTTAAAAATAAAAATAATTTTTATTTTCTTTTTTTTTTTATTGTTATAGTAAGATATTAAATTTTATATTTTTATTTTATTCGAAAATATTCTGAAGCAATATTTCATACTTTAATATTGTCGCACTTTTCAAGAAATCATACGTTATACCATTATTGTAATATTCTCCTATAAATTTTATAAAACTCTATTAAATTTATTGTGGGACAAAGTCGCAAGGATAATTTCAAATGAAGTAAAAAAAATTATTTGCTGTTTTCAGTTTCAATTCCTTTAAATTTATGACAAAAAATATTTATTATTGAATTTATTGCGATTCGGAAGCACTTTTACTTATGCAGTTTTCCGGGGAGTTTTTATGAAGTTTACTTATGGAGTTATTATCATTACATGCCGATTTTCGAACCATTAAACTATGCCTAAAATTTAATAAATTTGTGTAGACGTAAGCGTTTTTTAAATGTTATTGGTATGAAATAATCAATTAATCTACCCTTGATAATTTTAATGTAATGAGACATAACTCTATTCCGATAAGAAAAAATGGTCTTCAATTGCTTAGTTACAAGCGTTAATTATTTTTGTTGAAATATTTCATATTTGTTACGACTTAGAAATTTGCATCATATTAATCACTTTAATTACATAAAAACAAATTTTATAAATAATAGAGAATATAAACTTGTTATAAAAATTCTCTGTCCATTCACTGTCTTTGTATCTATCAGAAACAAGCTTCTGATAGACACAAGTAAATTAACGTAATTTAATTAAAAATTTCCAGAACAAAATTCATATTTATTTTCGGCATATTTTTTTTTAAACAATTGGAGTCTCCAAAACTCTTAATGTCTTTTCTTTTTAAAATTTATCATGTCAAACCCGCGAAAAAGTTTTATTTGAAAATTGGCGCTACTCAAAATGTCCGTCAATATTAATAATTATTTTTAGTAATTGTTTCCTTTCCACAATTTTTGTATTTCTATATACATGCGACAGGTTTTTAACAAAATAATTCCTGACAAATTACAGGGAATTGCCAGTTTTCCCGCGGCTCATTTCTTTAAAGCTACAATACTTTTTTTAACGTTTATAAAAACTGAGAGGCTAAAACTACTATATTAAATACATAATTAAACCGGCCTAATTATTCTTAAAATACGCCAGTTCTTAATCGCGTTTTTAAATCTTCTCCTAGATATATGCAATTAAAGTACCCAAAATACATACCAACTCGTTTAAAATTTTCTATTAAAAAATTTCTAATAGTTTAATTCATTTAAGGGAAACTTCCCACTTTACTATGTATACTACCCAATAAATTAATACGAGATCAGTAAAATATTGATTTTTTCTAAAGTGCAAAATTTATTTTATAAATATAAACTGGGTCCTAATGAAAAATAGACAAAATGGTTATATTATGTGCATAAATTAACGAAGCACTTTTTAATACGCTATCCGTCTTTATTATGTAAATGCTATTTTTCCCTTTTTTTCTTCTTTTTGTTTTTGGTATTCAAGTATGGCGTGAAATCAACAATTTATAAATTGTTTCAGTAAATTGAAAGATTAATTGACGAATTTCCTTTATTTCATTCAGACACCTGTTCTAAATACATTTTGTACATATATATATATATATATATATATAATGGTCCTACTTTATATTTAAGCATTTATTTTGGAAAATATATTTTATTTTAATTTGTTCTGTTTTCTTCTTATATTTTTTTTGCTTTTACAAAAAAATTTCTATTTTTTTATAGGATAGCATAATATAACAATTTTTCAAGTTTTTACTACGGAAATTACAACATAGACGGCAAATACATCAAGCATTGGTATGTATAGAAAACTATTTCTCATGTATTCATCGTATAAAGAGAATAATGTGCGAATTTATGTTTAACCTGTTTATTATGTATAAGCATTTTGTATATAGAAAATATTATATAGAAAATTATTGAAATGTTCATAAAAAATAATGGATTTGTTGAACAATTTGTGACTAAATTTACTATACTAACATAATAATTTTCGACGTTTAAATACTAATGAATGCACATATACACATTGGTGTAAAAAAAACTTCTGTATCTAACAGCAATGTTACGATTTTTTTTTACATACAAAAGAATATTAAGCAGTCAACCATTTTGCATTTTGTATTTTATCAAAGAGACACACACACAATTTTTGTATGTTGTACAAATAATTCCTTTGAAGCATTCATTAAAAAATAATGACAAAATTATTTAACAAGAATTGCATGTAAAGTTCATTGTATTTGCAATTTTAATAAAATGCCATTTTGCCTATTATTTCCTTTTCGTTACTGAACCTATAATTGTTCATTTATCCTATTCTGATAAAATTTTGCAATAACTGCGACAAAATTCTGAAATTCTTTGAAAACATAAAGTTGGATGAACACCATCAAACAAAACTTGGATTTAAAGTTCTCGAAGGTTATCCAACAGTTATTTCAAAATTAAATCATTGCTGCTATGACAACCATGTAATAGAATAGGAAAGTTTACCGCACTTGTTTAGCGTTTTGTATAGAAATGGGTGAGTTTTTTCATAATTATAGTATACAACAGTTAAGATGATTTTTTTCGGATTAATTTCTAAGTAAATATGAAAATAAATGTAATTTTTGCAAATATGTAATTTATAATGACATTTGCATAAAAAATATGGCTGAAGCTATTCTATTGATTCTAATGATTTGCAATTGAGTGTGAGAATGGAATGTGCCAAAATTTAACCATGCATACACTAAAATAAAAAATTATTAAATTTTAAAGTACAACCGTAACGACTCTCAATTTCGTGTATAGCTGATTTTATCAGCGTAAATAATTGTAGGAGACCTCAAATACAAAAACGAACAAGTATTTGCATAAAACTTTGATTCTCAATTATAGAAATTTATACATTATAAAGAAAATGAGAAAAAATAGAGTTGACCGTGTCATCTCTGTGATACACACACGAATTTGTCATTCTATGTGTTTTCAATATTTTCTAGGATACAAAGTCAATGTATGGCTGGTACCAGAAAGAGCCAAGCAATTTCAACTACTTTTATCAAACACATTGGCCCTACTAATATATTGGTTTGAGTGAAATTTCAATACCATAGCTTTTATAGTTTCTAAGATATAATCAAATGAATTTTGGAGTTTTATGGCAGCTATCCGAACCAGTACCCCAGTCATATCCAATTTACATAAGGTTCTGGCATTTACTATAATAAATCATTTGTAAAAATTTGGTGAACTTACATCAATTAGTTTTTGAGTTACAGTTCGGACGGACAGACGGAGAAACAAAGCTAAATCGACTAAGAATTCGACGCTGATCAAAAACATACAGTCTATATCTCAGACCATTATTTCTTAGCGTTATAAACGGTATGGCAATTTTAGTATACCCTTTGAACATACGTTCGTCCTGGTATAATAAAAGACATAATTTTCAAGTGAAAGTAACAAAGGCAACAGGAAACCACGGATATTCCTCAAGTAGAATAATATTGAAATTTAAAACTAATGCTTAAGGTCAACAAATAATAAATTTTGCTTTTCTCGCGTATCATTTTGTATACAATTCAATTTGGAAAATTTGATATCATCAATCTCCCTAGAGAAATAACGCTCTATTTTCAATTTTATATATAGAGTTTCGCATAGAATTTCAATTGAAATTATTTTAAGGAAAAACAAAAAAAAATATTCTAACTTTTTACGGTTACAATATTTTTCTTATTTTAAATTCAAAACTAATATTCAAACAAATCATTGGTACTAATAACTTCATTGATAACGTGCGATAAAAAAGATACACAGAGAAAAAAAAAAGTAAAAACCTTGACAAACAGAGTATACCCTAAGTAACTTGATATTCGTCGTTCATCTCCATTTTCCAATAAAACTTTTAATATTTCCTTTTTTCCTTTTTTTTTTTTAAATTAAACTTTTTCAATTTTCTTCATCTTGACACAAGTTTTAATAAAATGAAAATTTGTTTTTCGTTCTCTTGAAGGTGTTCTTTATTTTGTTTTTTTTTTTAACAGCAAAAAAATTCATTTCAGATCCAAGTAAAAAGCAATAAAGCCATAAAAACAAAGATGAAAATCATAACGGGAAAAAGAAAATTGTTTTTAACTGTATTTTTTTACACACATTTTTCTTCTATTTTCATTTTTAAAAAAATTTTCATAAAAAAAAATAATCTTTTATTTATAAAGAAATATACATAATGTATATGTGTGTATTGTGCTGATATTATTTAAACTTACCGGTTTTCTACATTCGGGACAAAATTCTTCTTGACATGTTGGACATTGAACTGCATATGGTATAATGGATTCATTTGATTTATTGCATTTCGTTGAGCTTGAAGATCCTGGAATCATTGTTTTACAATTTGTTGTTGTTGAAGTTGATTGTGGACTTATTAAACAGACTGTTTCACAACCAGCACGTGGACACCATGTCCTAAATTTATCCAGTTCAACTTCTATTAAATTAAAAATATCTCTATTAGTTTTAGAGTAAATAGATGCAATTACAAAATATGAGAACTATTCTGTTATAAATCAGATTTATGTGATTTTCCAGGTCATAATGTCATAATTTACGGTATTAAATCCTTAACTCTAATATTATGAATTATTTTAAAATTAATTAAATATAAAATAATTTATATAAGAAATTAAAATTTAAATTTCCAAATTCTTTCTTTAAAGATGCAAATTATTATTTAAGTTATTGTAAATGATCAGTTGATTAAATATAAATGCAATTTTTTTACGGTATTATGAGTTTTTCATATAATTTATTATTATTTACCTCTATTGAATCTGTATCTATGATGTTTTTCCATTATATCGGCAGGCACTAAAGCTGAAATTTCTGTTAAATTAAGTACACCTTCTAATGGACATTGTGCATCTGGGCATGATATTTCATAAGCACCTTCTTTTATTTCAAATTCTACATAATATTTCATGCACTGAAAACAAAAATTAAATTTATAAAAAATTAAATTGAAAATTATAGAAAAAAAGTATTTTATTAATTTTCTTATTAAGAATAATGTAAAACTCAAAGGACTTTGTCAAAAATAGTATGCAATTTGAGTAAATCAAAATAGTTCACCAAATTTATATAAAGAAAACTTATAGAAAACGACTAACTGGTACCTATTCTTGAAGTAATTTTGTATAATATTCGAATAGCAATAAAATTTTCATGAAATTTAGCCATTGTAAATTTTATGCTCCTGACAAGGTTTCCATATTTTATAATACTCACCGCACAACCGCCCTCACCGTTTCAACTCAACCGCCTTGATATTTAAATTACAAGAAAATTTTTTAATTCCAAATTTCAAACCTTATAACAGAAAATTTGTGTTAATAAACGAAAAATATCAGGACCTACCGAAATTATTCCAACTATAAATAATAAAAAAATATTCAAAAAAAAAATGTATTCGCACATAAAGAAAACATGCTAAAATAGAAATTTAATTTTATGATTAAAAACCAAAATTTCTATAAATTTTCCTATCAAAAACTTTTTAATACCAATCCTGATAAGACCAAGTTTACAAGTTCACTATAATAAATATGTAAATGGAAAAAGTCGTACAATATGACATAAATAAAAATTTTACAATTGGCATTTGTACAATTTCCTTTAAAACTATAGGTACGTATTTAAAAATTTTTTTTCATTTTAATTTCATGTCCTTTAATATAAAAAATACAAAAATTCTGCAATCATTTCTTAAATGGAAATTTAAAGTCTATATACGCTAATAATATTCAAGTTATTACTATAATAAAAGTATTAAAAGCGATTATGAATTTTTCTCAGGTCTTTTTCCGGAATAATTTAGAAAATTAATGTCTGACATAAAATACAATGAGCAAGAAAAGCAAAAAAGAAACAGAAAAAACGCTTTTATAAACGAGTTTAATTGTGACTTCATAAAAATATGAGGTGAAAAATTTCGAATAAAAACATTTTTGTTTTTCTCTCATATTCAACGTATACAATGAATTTCTTGTCTTGTTCCTTTTAACTACACCATTTTATTATTCATTTGGTATCCTTTATTTTTTTTGTTTTGTGCTTTTATGCAAAACTTAATAATTAATAGAAAAACAAAAAAAAACATAATAAAAATGAAATGAAAGATTTATGGATTAATACAAGCCCTATTTTCATAAAAGCCATAAAATATTTTCATTTCTATTTATACTCGTACATATACAAAAGAAAGCAAAGATTTTTGTTTGGTTTCTTATTATTTTTAATATTTTGTGGCGAGTACCTTTTACTATTCTTTGTCAGGATATAATAAAACCGTTTCTGAATATTTAATGCGTCTTTATGGAACAACAATAACAAAAAAAGCACAAGAAAATAATAACATATACTATAGTATTCAGACGCGATATAGACACGTGCCAATATTTAATATTTTATTTTATAGAGAAAGAGTGATACGGGGAACAAAAAAAAAAAAATATGAAAATATTTTTACACAACCTGCAAATCGAAATTAAATCGTTTTATGAAATAAAAGCAATAATAATGTAAAAAGGATTCAACCAGATTGAATACAAAATAGAAAATTTATAGTTTCTATATTTTCTCTCTAGCTATACATATAATATATATATTATGCAAACATATTTATTCATTAAATCATAAATGAAACCTGTACAGGATATAAAAAGTTTAAGTTAAAATTAAATTTGAAAAAGAAAAAAATATATTTGAGAAATAATAATTTATTTATATACAAACACATATTTGAAAATATGTGCATCTAGATTACAAAGGCAGATTTGTTCAATAAAGCCAAAACCTAATGGGATTCCAAAATTCTAACAATAATAAATCAGAAAGAAAATGTGTAATGAAAGGCAATTGTATAATAAATTATATGAAAATTATAAATTAAATTTTTTAAATTAAATTTGAAGTATTTCCGTAAATTAGTTCCTAAGATTTGATCAAATATATAGGATCGACTCGTGGTGAGTAAGTTCTGTTTCCGAGCCCTGATATTTACAAAAAATTTAACCGATTCATTTTTTTAAATAACCAAATTTTAATTATGAAAATTCAAGTAAATTGATTGATGAACAATGTATTATACATGAACAAAAATGTAAATTCAGCCCGCAGTGTCCAGCTTCTACCACACCCCTCAAATTTCCTCAAAAATTTTTGTGAAAATAGCTAAACAAATCACCTATAAATATGCAAAATTTAACAAATTTCTAATATGAAATTATTTTTATCATACGTTTATGTATTTTTATCTTTCTTCCATACAGCAACCAATTCCATAATGAGTAAACTGCACAAAATTTCACTTCGACTCACAAACATATCACCCTGATTTTATTTTAGTATAATTATACCTACAAATATCATTATAAATAGACCTTCCCAATTATCATTCTTATTTCTATAAAATCGCATTCGTATACAATTTCACTTAAATATTCTAAGTATTCTTCTTGACTCAAAGTTTTTTTTCCTTAAAATTCTTTATTCTACATGAGCAATACATTTGAATTCATATTTTCGGTTTACTTTATTGTCAACATAAATTAATTTTTACAATAACAATTAGTTAAACCGCTTATAAACTTTAAATTTCATATTGTCAATAGAAATTTCTCTTTACATTCTTAAAGGTAAGAGTTGATATCTCTTATTGTCAAACCTGAAATTTAAAGGGAACAACTATATAGTGCGAATTCAATTAAAAATATATTTAATAGCTCTTCACTTATTCTATAATTACAAAAGTATATAGTTAATCCGTTCGACAAATATAGAAGCATTATTTTGTGTATAGAGCAGAGAAATTTATTTAAATTTCTACATTTATAAATAATACAAAGTAATTTGTAAGAAATACTTAAATATAAATAAAATATGTACAGATATATAAATATATAAAGTCTACATCCATCTAAGTTTTAAAATAATAAAATTTAATTACATTGCACAGTATATGTGTATATGCGTACATACACACATATTATAAGTATTTAGTATTTTAACTAAATAATCCTTTGTTTGCTCATTTAAAATGAAATTTCAGACAATTAAAACAAATATAAGAAAAAACAGAAAAAAAATTTAATGAAAATGAAAAAGATTTTCCTTCAAATATTTTATAAAAGAACATTCACCAGGATCATAAATACCTATACAAACTTATAGAAAGAGCTCATCTATATACGCATATGTACAGTTCTATATAAAAATTCTATATAAAGAGCCTTTTGTAATTTTATTATTTCGCCTTTTCCGTCTGTTTCCTGTCAACCCTTCCATTGTTTTAAAATGTTTTATGTTACAAAAACTTCTCTTAAATAGTACATGTAACTTATCTTCTTCAATATTATTGAAGAATGAGTTAAATTAGAATTTATATGTATGTGCAAGGGTGCATGTTATTTAGAAAAAAAAAAGGATTTTAGAAATTTTTAGAGAATCCAATTTAATTATTTTCGGTTTGTTATTCTGCTTCTAACTCTAGAAATATAAAATTGAATTGAAAAGTATATTGCAGTCAATCCGGAAATTTGTTACGTTTATAATAGACCTTTTAAATTTTAATAGTAATAAAATTTTTTCTTTCATATTTTGTTAATTTGTAGAGTTTACGTTTTTTAACCTGAAGGATCTACAATGTACTAATAGTTAAGAATAGAATTTGAAAAATTCAAAATGTAAATCTAATGTTTGTACGAGTATATTGTGAATAAGAAAGCAGAACTGAATATGGCGTAAATTTGTTGAATTTAAAGTTGAAATTGGAATCGTAAGTTAATATGGAATGGAATATTAAATTTTGATTTTACGATCATATGTGACTAATGTCTTACGTAAACGTAAATCATTTAATATTTGGTCTTTCAAATCAACTTAAGAATTTACAATAAGTCGGTAAATAAAAGATTGTTTCGCTTCATTGTTGTTAACTAGCATCAAATATCATTCAGACTTCAAAACCAAGTAAACAGGAGAAACACACAAAATTGCATAATGTATTTAATTTTTTGTCGGTAACGATTGTGCCCATTTTAAACTAATTCCTTATCCAAATATATTTTTGAAATACAAATACTAACAAATTTAATATAAGTATAATTAATTTAACTTGCACATTAACAATACCTTATCAAAATTGCCTTTTTCCTTTTAACATAATGTTATAAATGAGGAACTTGTAAAGATAATAAAGTAAATAAATTTTCTTTATAATCACACGTAAAGAAATCGCGTGCTTAAAAATGTATATAGAGAAATATGGGGTTAAAAAGTATTTTCCAAAACAAATAAATATATTTATAGTATATACGTTTGTACGTATGAGCATGTATAATCAATTATTACTTTATTTACTTAAATTTACAAAGTTTCTCTTTGAAAAGTTTATACAAGGTATTAAAGTATTTTCAAAATTCCTTTGTGTATTTTAATATTATGTATGTTTAAATATTTTCCATAAAAAAAAAACAATTTCTAATTGAGTGTTACCATTATGTAAAAATATATTATGACTTCAAGTGAAATAATTAGAAATACAAGTTGAACAATTGTTAAATTTTTTTGGATAGGCCTCTTATACTGGAGCCAGATTAATAAATTATTATAAAAATAGATTATTAATTAAATTCTTGTGTATTCAATTTTCAAAAAAATCACTAGATTATATAAGAAATTTTGACTGTTAAGTTTCAGTCTGAACGCGAGTGGTAAACAAAAAAAATACTCACCTCTGTACAAAAATTGCAACCACAATAATTAATTTTTGTTGCATCTGTTTTTGAATCAGTTTCAGTTAAACACAATTTACAAATAAAAAGTTGATCTGGATTTATTTCAGTTTTACCATCGACATAATCTTTTTCACTAGAATTCCGATTACTTTTTATACTTGTTCTACGTAATTGATGAATTTCTTCTGAATCCGTACGAGGAATGTAATTAATTTTATTTATTGATTCGAAATTAGAAAATCTTCTTTCACTACTATCATTTTCTTGTGTTTCATTTTTAACTGAAGATTGTGATTGAGATTCTGATAAAATACTAGAACACCTTGAACAATTTGTATTACTTGTAATGGATTTACAACTTCTAAGCCTATTTAATGGTTGAATTGGTTCAATATTATGAAAATGTTTTAATTCAGGCACATTTAAACTAATTGATCTTTTATAAAATGTTCCGGGACTTTTATAATTTTCAATTTCAACATCTTCTGGTATATAAGAATAAGTGGAAAATTGCCTAGTAAGAGCTAAAACAGTCTCACATTTTCTCATACTTGTATATTTAACAACAGAATTTGATTTTCCATTAATAGAATTTTGTCGATTATTTTCTCTTTTTAAAAGTGGCACAACATTCCAGAGTTTTTGCTGAACGGTCACTAAAGATAATGTACTCTCGGTTAATTTTTGATTATCACATAATTGTATATTTGAACCATTATTCTCATAAATATTTTGCCGTTCAATTGTCTTATTAATTCCATCATTTTCAATTTTTGCTTGTGGTTCAAGTGCTATAGTTGTAGTGGCAGTAGCATCTGTGATATCAACAGTTGGTGAATCAATTGTCTGTTGTTTCCCACGACCAATAAAACTTTTAATTAAATTTTGAAAACGCTTACGTTTTGGAACCGGTCTTGTTTTTTTCAATGAATTCTTATTAATTGGTGATTCTTGTAGTAATTGATCTTCCAATCTGAAACTTGATCTTTTGTCCATAATGAAATTTAAACGATTATTTTTCTATAAATTATTTTTCGATATAAAAATTTATAGTAAAACTTTTAGTTAATTCTACACTATAGGCAGGTAGGTGGCATCTTAATTAATCTGAAAATATAAAATAATAATTGATAAAGATTAATAAGGTAATAAAATCGATGAATTTAACTAATTGATGTATATGGAAGTAATTATAATTTAATTAATTGATGTATATGGAAGTGACGTTATTTTTTTTATTAATTTGTGATAATGATTGTATTAATTCATTTATACTAATGTATTATTCATTTTTAAGATTTCCGAGGACTTTAAGGCCTTTTTCATTGTCATGAGTGACCCTTTTGAAATTTCTTCTTGAACTTACTATAACATCTATCAAATATCAAATAGACAAAATCTGTACTATTGCTTTGTGTTCTGAGGTTTTACAGAACTGATATCCAAATATCTGACGGAACAAAAGTGGCAGATCTCTCCGAGAATTTTCGTACAAAACCTTATATGATCACATTTGAAAACTTTGACAGGCTAACAGGGCTTAAAAAGGCTTGAAATATTTTATGCAATTTTTGAGCGAACAGGTTTTTTAAATATCTTTAGAAGCCATCGTTAAATTGTTCTAAAAAGCTTGCCAAAGTTTCATGAATATCGAATCAGCCGTAAATAGAAAATAATTTGCACACACATGCTATTGAATAAAAATGCAAATATCCATAAATTTTCTAAAAAAATCAAAAACTTATTCAGTTTTAATTAACTTAACAATTTCTCAAATTTGTCGTCTAAGTTGAATGTACTTAACATAACTTATTTTCATTCTATCATATAAAGATAAACTCAATCATAATGCAATAAAAATTTTTATTATCACAAAAAAATATTTTAAAATTTATGATTATATTCTCTGTCCCCATGAACCGACCGTGTACCGAACTTCAAAGAAATATCTTTGGAATGCAAAATATAAACATAAAACGTCTTGCAAAGTCTTTGCTTTAATCGAGACATTAAGGAAAACTTAATATGCACCACATAATTTTACGCCCCTTTAATAAAAAGAAACCATAATATAAATTGGAAAAAAAATCTCATTCTATGATCTCAGATATCATTAAAGTGGTGATAATTAATTATGAAAAGATAGTTAAAGATAAGAGATCAAAATATGAATGTTAAACACCGACATCTCTTGACATAATTAAAAATTTACACTTTTAATTATTTTTCTTTATAAAAACCAGTTGAGAAAAAAATTTTTTAAACTTTGCTTTTTCATTTAAACACTTTTGAATGGGACAAAACTTTACTCAACTGGGAAATTAAACAGTTATAAAATTTAAAGAACGTAAAAAGAAAATGCGTATAAGAAACATTAAAGTTTCGCATTCAACGCATTCTTCATTTTGGGAGAATTTTTTAAAATCTGAGACATTAAAAATTAAAAACTTTTCCAAAAATAATTTCTTATTTTTCTATTCTAAATCAGGAAAGGAAGAAGGTTCGCTATATTAATTATTCGGAAGAAAGCACTTTTCCTTCAATTGTCCATAGCAATTATAAGGTATAATTAGGAATGCATACTTAGTTTACATAAAAAGGCCTTGATATTATTATATATGTAATATCATTAATTACTTTTATTGAAAACAGAAGGGCAAGAGATCGAGGATCACCAAGCTACGGATATCCACATCAAAAGTGAGCTGGCTCCAGACTCAAAGAAGGAAAAATCTCAAACTGTCGGCAGAATACAGGCGTACCTATGGAAACTTTCCCAAGCGTGTTTCGGCCGAGGAAAACGCCATTGAATTATGCGTACGGTTTAGCCAGGGATATCGGAGACCGAAGATAATTATTGTGTCGGATAAAAGGGCTACATTTGGAGCGCTGAACTCGTTTTCGGTATTCCCCGCGGCAATATGGGGCTGTCCTGAGAAACTCCATAAATTGGGCACGCGTAACCGAGTCACTCTGTGCTGAGTGCCGAGCCATGTGGGCGTAGAAGATCCTTATTCGTGGTCGCAATGCACTGTTACTCCAGTCGTACAAATTTACAATCTACGAGGTTATCAAAGTCTACATGTTCATCAAAGCAGGGGTACGGCTCTCTATGAATTTTCTTACTTCTATACCACGCTTATTGCTTAATTATTATTTTTGAATCCAGATAAAATTAGTTATACTGCGATTAAAACTTTAGTTTTCGGTTGAAAAATTTAATCTATACCGTTAAAGTATAAATTTTCTTTAATTGTACTCGTTCTTAAAGAAATTTTTCATTTTAAAATTTAAGTTTAATTGGTTGCAATTTTAAAGTTTCCAAAATTCCAAAAAGAGATTAAAATAATCGAAAAACTACAATAAATTTAAATTTTGTAATGTTCTTAATAAGCAAGCATTCACATTTTGATTTTAATTGCAGCATTTAAATTTAATAGGACGTTAAGTTCAATATTAAAGTTTCTTTTTTCTATTTCTTCTATCACAGGAAAATATCAAAATCAAAGAAAACGAGAATAAACAAAACAACATTTTACAAAATTCTCAATCGCTTAAATTAGCTACTTACAGAAATAATTTCATAAACACAAAGTAAGTAGATCTACTATATTACATAGACCTAATTTGACAAAACTTTTTAATTAGAGAATTTTTCTATTCAATTTAAAAAATTTTATTTCCAATTATAAAACAATAGATTCTCATTTTCAAAACGAATCTTTGCCTATTCTTTAATTCTATTATATATACAAAAAAAAATATTTTTTATTTTAACCTTATGCCTGAAAAGTTGAACAAAAAAGCCAACATGGAAGAACATAACAAAGAAAATAATTGCAAGGTATTAAAGTGGAATTAAACATTTGTGTAAAAAAGAATTTAACTTTTGTTTTACCAATATTAACGTAACTAAATAGAAATTGTATAGACAAACATAGACACATAAATACAAGTGTGTATATAGTGGTATAAGTATAATAAAATCGCTTAAGTCATTTGCGGTTGGTTGAACGAAGGAAATTTTAAAGAGAAAGTAAGAACAAGACCTGCATCATTGGTTTACAACTCAAAGTTAACTAATCAAAAACAAAAGAAAAAATAATCAAAAATTTTTTTTAAGATAAAAAACTAAAAATTCTTGTAAAGAATAAAGAATTTCAAGAGAAATCTTTGCACTTCTACACCAGGGTTGCCACCAAACGGAAAAAAAGAACTACTAATTTCCTTTTAAAATTTGAAAAAAATTAAAAAAAATCTGGCATTTTCAATTGTTGTAACGAAAACAAGTTTCTTTCTTCAAGAGTGTAGAAGTTTTGTGAGCGGGTCCACGGACGGACGGGCTGCCGAACGAACAGATTGAAACTAATTGAAACGAACGAACAGATTGAAAAAAGTACTGAAAATTAGTTATCTTATGGGAAAATGAATTATTCAAATTAAGGAAACGAGAGATTTGATTTGAAAGAGAATAAATAGGGGGACAGAAAAAACGATGAAGCTGATGAAAAGAATGCATGACCTATAAACAATTATTTTTGTTTTGTAGTTACGTAAAGAAATTTTAGAATTATAATTAAAATTTAAATTACCAAATTGCAAAATTTGAATAAAGTTACCAACATCAAAAATTGCCAAAATGGCAATACTGTTTTCTCTCTTTTTTCCTCTATGTGTCTCGATTCTCAACATAGTAAGTGCATAAACCAAAAAATTTTTAAAAGATTCCATGAGGGTCCAATAATCTTCTATTATCTTAAAGGAAAAGAAAAGGTTCTTGAGAAATGAAATTCTTTTTTTTTTCTTTTTCTACGTTTCTACTTTAAAAATTCCAAAAAAGTTTTTGTAATCAGGAATTTTCTCTTACTTTGTATGTATTTTTCTATTTTTTATTTTCTTTTCCATATTTGCTAAATATTTTTACAAAGGATAAGAATTTTTTTAAACAAAAATAATAAAAAAAAAAATTATTTATTTTGGTTTTCCTTTTCTCAATTTCTGAACTTTATCTTCATTTTTTATATTTTTACAATTTTTGAAAAATAAAAAAAAAAATTGTTTCAATGGCCAGAGATAAATAAATCAATTAGATTCTTGAAATATCGTTCAATTGAAAATAAAAATTAAAAATGAAATATTTGAAAATCAAGAGGAGTAATAAATAATATTTTGCTTCTGTTGTTGTTGTTTTGACAAACTCAAAATTTATTTTAAAAATTAATTTTATTGAAAAATATTTTGTATATATGTATGTAGGTAATTTTATTATGTTTGTTTAAAATACAAAATATTTACAATCATTGGTTTAATAAAGTTCAACTATTTATGCAATTTAAATTTATTAGTATACTTGGACTCCTGCAATTGAATATAAGACTTTAAAATCCCACATGATATGTTAAAGAAAGAACACAGATTTTGAACTTGAACCTTATATAGGTTTGGAGATATCAATAACACATGTATGTACATTTGCTTTTTAAATTTTATTTTTTCACACTTCAATTTAACTTCGAATTTTAACAGTAGGAGATTAACCTACTTTGATTTTAACAATTTTTATTACTTTATTAAATTATCAAAATAATACTCAAGATCAAATATATAACAATCAGAATTACTTTTCCAATTAAAACAATACGTAAGAAAATAGTATGCTTTAATGATATTTTAATTTGATTTATTTATTACAACAACTATTCCAACAAAGCCGGATTCTATCGTTGATTTGTAAACTATAACAACTTCCATAATAAGTTGAGTTGAATCAAGTTCGAAAACAATGTTATAAAACCTTTATGATAAATTTAATTTTGAAAATTTTAGTGAGATTTTATTCCAATGAAATTTATTGCCAATAATTTGAATGATAGTTATAGAATTTGTTCACTTGAACAATACGTAAGTTTTGATATGAGTGCTTATAAGTATTGCTCAATTCTTTTGGTAAAAATAAAAGAAATATAATGCTTCTTTATATGTATAGTTGAAATTAATATTATTATTAAAAATTTATACACGTAGTTACATATAATATATGATTTATGTAGTAATATAGAACACCAGTTATAATGTATAGTATTCAACAACAGGCACCTGAATAGTGA